CGTTAGAATGCCGTAGTTTGGTTGTGTAGCTTTAAGGATTTGGAGAAATTCATTAATTGATTTGATGCTACCATTGTTAGATAGATACTAGCGGCATGGCCCAGCGTTGCCTGTGCTTGATTCAAAAATCGTATGCTTCATACAGCAATCGCTATCACTTGACTTAAAATATTTTTGCCCTTCCTTGCCTTTAAAGGAGTGCCCTTTGCTGTGCTGATGTTGCTACATGCCTTACTTCTTGCCTATCTCACACTGCGAATATTTTCTAAGCTCTATACTAAACATTAAATCTGTTATGAAAAAAGAACTAAACAAAATAATCAGCTTTAAAAAAGGACTCGTAACTGGAAAAACCGAATGAAAAAAGACTCTTAACAACAAATACTTTTTCACACCCAACCCAGTTCTGCGTAATCAGAATCAACGTTGAGTTTAAGCAAGCGAATGAGCCAATTCGAGTAAAGTGCCATGCAGATTTTAATTTTTCCCACTTGTGACGAATGCAGCTATTGATTTTTTTGCATGCTAGTTAACATTCGTGTCAGTCAGCTGTTGGCTCTCATGCTGACTAATAGAATCTTCCTGCCTATTCGTGGCAGCCAGCTATAGGCTCTCACTCTGGCCAGTAGAAAATGGTAGCAAACTACATGAAAACTGCCGTAGAAGCATGAAAAAAATCGATTAACTCCACTATCGATGGGAGTTGGGAAATGCAAAGTCAGTCTTGGCCTTCCTGTTAACTTGGAGCATGTGCATGTAAATTTTGGTGCAAATCCATTGAAAATTGTGGGCGTGCATTCATTACACACACACTCACATCCTGCCTTTTATAGATAGAGATAGAGTCATGATATATATATATATATATATATATATATATATATATATATATATGTATGTGTGTGTGTGTGTGTTGATAGTCTAACCAATCATGTAGTTTCTTTTTTTTTTTGTTTATGTTTCCATCATTCTTGTTATCACATGTTTTGATAAATCTGCCAAGAAATTTGAAATGTTCTACGAACCTGGATGTAAATTTACTGACCTAGCGATTAAAGCATTTTCTATACATTTTCGTCTCATTAAATTGCTTTCTCTTTTAATTAGAATGGAATTTTTTTAAATGAAAATTCTGGTTCGACTCAAAACATCTGATTTATTTCCTTAAAGGAAACATTTTATTTTGGCAAGTACAAATTGCCAGTATTACTTTACACTTTTTTTAAAGGCCATTATTAATTAAAACTTATTGTTTATTTCTAGAGTTGATGTTGTTTAGAGAATTTTATATTAGGCACAATAAGAGATTAACAATAATCATCATCATCATCATCATCATGGTTGTCCTGGACTGAAGAAGACTTTATTTTGTAATTCATCGGTGGATCTGAATGAAATTTTAAAAACAGATTTGTGTGGAAAGAATTTATTGTGGGAAAATTGTTGCATTGTGGTAATCCCAATCTTTTTCGACTCTGGGGAGTTTTCACGAGAAATCATTACAACAGGAAATTTCCAGTTTGCAGTAGATGACCAGGACATTCATGTATCATGTTAATGCTCTGATGCACCCTATGGCACTTGCGGACACTGCCTGCATGTTTATTGCATCCGTAGCAAACTCATCCGTCTACTCCACCAGGAATCAGTATTTACATATAATAAGGATGACAGACCCAAAATTCTCAAGGGTTTGGTCCCATTGACTACCCTCACCTGGTTTTTCGACCAGTCAAAGTGGTTAACTGGTGTGTGGCTGCTGTTGGCTGCACACAGTTATTTGGGCCCACAGGTAAGATTTGGGTGCTGGGTAGGACCAAACATTGATGAACTATTTCCAAACGGGTATAAATATTCCTCCATTATTTGTATTTCCCTGACACTGCAAACATTTTTTTTTACTGTGTCAAATATAGCAATTACCATTATAATAAAATATATTTAAATGATAAATAGGTAAATATTAGTTGTTTATATTTGAGTCTACAGGAAAACATTTATTTGGTTCTGGGAGAGATAAATATTGGTCATTTCTATTTGAATCTGTAATTTACTTGGTTTAAGAATAGGTAATAGTGTTTGTTTATTTCTCAATTTATAAGCATTTACTTGGTCGGTAGTTACTATTATGGGTTCTAACATGTAGTCAGCATACCATTCATGCATGCATTGAATATTGCTACCATATCTAATCTTGTGTTTTGACTATGTATCTCTCTCTTTCTCTCTTTCTCTTGATTTTCAAAATGGGTCTGTAATGTTATTGGTCCTGACCTGGCATCTTGACTTCAGTCACTTTCTCACTGCTGTGTTGTGTCTTCCCTCTATCTTTTCTATAAATATTTTCATGGTAATTTTAATGAATTCTCCTCCCTGGTATCTCAATTGTACAAATTTAAGCATACTACTGGATTTGCAATTAGGTCCCATCGTTTTACTGTTGAACTAGCTAGATGTAACCATAAGCTGTAACTGAAGGACACATGGCACAGTGGATAAAGGCGTTAGTTAGAACAATGTGACAGGACCCAAAGAGTGTGATTTCAATATCTGGCTAAGGCAGTGAAGAACCCTGAGAAGGGAATTAACAGGAGATAACTGATAACTGACATCCATTAGACATAGCATGTGGAACTAGAACAGTCTACCCTGGCAAGCGAAATAAAGGGTTCAGTTTGACATTCCAACCACCTGAAGAAGGCCAGAGCATACAATATCTGAAATGCTGTGATAAATATGGTGACAAAGATGAGGACAATAGTTCGAATAATGTAAATAGTGTGCTTTTCTTCTATTGTCCTTTCTCCTCTCTAAAGTATTCCCCAAATCTCCTTGGGTCTTAGTGGCATTATTGCCTTGCTTGGGGTGAAATGATTAAAAAAAAATATTCTAGGCCCACCGACAGATTGATTTATTGTAGGAGTCTAAAATCAAATTTAAAATTTGTAGTTTGAATGAAAGGAAGGAGAAAAAATGGTATGTTGCTTATCTTGTGGTGAGGGGGAAGAAGAAGCAATGACAGGGAATTTCTTTTATAGGGAGACATTATAGCAAACCAGGAAAAGAGACAAATTATGGGAAGGAAGAAAGAAACTATAGAACTCAACTGAAAATAGGAGTTGGGATTTTATTCTTTTTGGCGGACTTGATAAAGGAACGTGCTAGTTGGAGAAGAAACAAGGGACATATGAGAAAGGTTGTACGTGACAAAGAGGGAGAAGATTTAAGAATAAGGAAAGATAAGAGTAATCTCTGGAGAAGCAGAGAAAATTCGAACTACCATGCCCCACTTACTTTGCATTGATACACTCTGCTGATTTCCCTAACATCGGAGAATAAATACAGAAGTTTTCCCCCTCCACCTCTTATAGTTGGAAGGACACAAAAATTTTTAGCCAATAAAATAAGACGGCTTGCGTTTAGCCATGACTCAGTCCAGATCTGCCTGAACTACTAGATAGATCTACAGTATTTACTTGTCTGACCTTGATTTTGTGTATAAACACTAAGTCATAGTTTGTGAATTCTTTTGCCTTCTTACCTGTTTGATTTGCTTTAACTATATTGTTTGTTTGTTTGCATGATTCTTACTGTTTCATTCTTTTTGACCTTTTTTTTTCTTTTCATTACAAACTTTATTCATTCTGTTTGTGTCATTTACCTTGCATTTTGACACTGTCTTCTAACTCTTCAGGGAGTGAAAGAGAATGAGAAAACTTTAGTAAGAATTGGGGAAATGACAATAAAGAAACAGATTTCAGGTAGAAAGAAGATGGCAATTGATGTTGCATTTAAATCTTTAAAGATTGTATTTATCAGGGAAGCAAGAAATTGGATGGCATTTCCACAGGTGAGAAGTGTAAGAAACAGAACACTTAGAGTAGAAGTGGTGATTGCATCAAACCAGTTCAACAGTTAAAATCATGGAACCTAATCTCATAGCATGAGTCCAAAAAGAAATACATAAATACAAAATTAATTATACATGTCGTTAAAACAAATAAAAATTAATTATTGTGTCAAAATTAATTATAATAAAATAATTATAACAATTATAATTATCATTAATTCACTCATTCTAAACCAATGAGAATCTATCCCACCTTTCTCCTCTTCACACACAAACATGTGACATTCTCACTATGGGAGAAGCAGTTCACACTGATGGGTCATCAAAACAAGTGTCAACAAAAATTTCATCTCCTTTATCTCTTTCAGGCCATAATAGTAACATTGATCTCTTAATACTCAAAAATTTGTGGTAAGAAAACCCCATACATTTTTTGTATTATTCCAACTAAATTATCTGAACACACATCTATATAAAAAAAATGAGAAAGACTGTATAAACTTTGCTTATAACTTTATCTTATCCTTCTGTCAGATTCCAATGTCTTCTAACTCTTCAGGGAGTGAAAGAGAATGAGAAAGCTTTAGTAAGAATTGGGGAAATGACAATAAAGAAACAGGTTTCAGGTAGAAAGAAGATGGCAATTGATGTTCTCCAGATCTGCCTTAACTACTAGATAGATCTACAGTGTTTACTTGCCTGACTTTGCTTTTATATACAAACACCAACTCATAGTTTGTGAATTCTTTTGTCTTCTTACCTGTTTGAACTATATTGTTTGCTTGCTTGCATGATTGTTGCTGTCTCATCCTTTTTGACATTTTTTTTTTCATTGCAAACTTTATTAATTCTGTTTGTGTTATTTATCTTTTCATTTTGACAATGGCTTCTAACTCATCACACTTAATCTCAGCCTCCTTTTTTTTAAACCACATAATCTCTCCACAGTATGTCGATGATATTTTATTAATCAGGGGATATATTTTCATCATCCATTGCTTCCTTTTTAACTATTATCCTAATTACTAGTTTCTTTTTGTGAGGGAAATAAAAAAAATAACCTTTTGTTTTATTTGTTACAAGATTTTAACAGAAAAACCATTAAAAATAGACTTTATTGTTGAATTGAAAGAAGAGAACAAATATTTACCTTCTCAAGGGGGAGAACAAGGAATGCTCCCCCACCAGAAGCCTCGGTAACGACTGCCAGAAATTTAGGGTTAACTGCACAGAAATTGCTGTCATGGGCATTTTTGGTGATGCGAACATTTTCATAACAAAGTTCCTTCCGAGATGGGTTGCCAAAGACATGGCGGTACTTGGAACTCCGCACTCGAAAGGCCATCTATAAAGAAAATAAATAAAAAGATTATTAAAGCAGATTGATAACAAATGAAACAAAATCATAAGCCCTCAAATTTCTTAGATGAAGCATTGGCAATTATTATTCATTTTTCACTAGTATTTCTTTCATCTTATTTCTCTTGCTTTTCCACCAAGTAGTAATAGTCTTAAGTTGTCTGAATTTCTTAGATGAAGCCTTGGCAATTATTATTCATTTTTCACTAGTATTTCTTTCATCTTATTTCTCTTGCTTTTCCACCAAGTAGTAATAGTCTTAAGTTGTCTGAATTTCTTAGATGAAGCCTTGGCAATTATTATTCATTTTTGACTAGTATTTCTTTCATCTTATTTCTCTTGCTTTTCTACCAAGTAGTAATAGTCTTAATTTGTCTGAATTTCTTAGATGAAGCCTTGGCAATTATTATTCATTTTTCACTAGTATTTCTTTCATCTTATTTCTCTTGCTTTTCCACCATGTAGTAATAGTCTTAATTTGTCTGAATTTCTTAGATGAAGCCTTGGCAATTATTATTCATTTTTGACTAGTATTTCTTTCATCTAATTTCTCTTGCTTTTGTACAAAGTTTGAGAGTTACTCCAAAAGTAATGACTCCTCTTCTATTATGCTGGCCTGTAATGTCAAAGATCAAAGTTTGATTTGGAAGTAGAAAATTCTTGTCAACAGCCCATAATTTTTTTTTTTTTAGCTTTGTTGTAGTTGATCAACGGTATAAAAATAGCATTACATATAGAAGTTTGTATAAAGCACATCATAGACTTCATTTGTTAGCATTCACTGATGTTTGCTGAAATTTGATAAAACCAAACAGTGGATGTGAGCACAGTTAACATGTAACCATCCTTAGTAACTATGATATTTGTGACAAGCTATGTTGTCATGAATACAGCAAAGATGAAGATAGTGGTTTGAATAATGCGTAGAGTGACATCTAAAGACAACTTGATACAGTGTACACATTATGAAGGCTGAAGAACAGATGCAACGTTGGGATAAAAACAACAAAGATGAAGATAGTGGAATGAATAATGTGTAGAGTGGCATCCAAAAATGACTTGATACATTGTACACACTAAGAACATGCCAACCCACATGTTGAGATAAAAACAAAGAAGAGGACCCCCCCAAAGAAAAAACAGAATAATGAAGATAGTTCAACCCTTTAACATTCAACACATTGAAACCCACCCCATAGATATCGGCTTTCAAACTCTCACTGTTTGTGCTCAAAGTCTCACCACTTGCGTGACTTCCTGTGTTATTTACAATGATGTTATCATATACAGGGTGCTGCAGAAATATTTCCCATCTAATTAGTGGCAAATGTGTCTTCATCTAGCTAATATCTTACCATTATGTGGGCAGGGGTATTTCTGGGATGTATATGTGGGAGGTATTTCTGCTGTATCTTGTATTATGGCAGATTGTACGTGGGGAGGTTTAAATGGGGTGAACATTGAGAGCTGATATTTACTGGGGTGGGTTTGGGTGCTATGAATACTAATGGGTTAATGGAAATTAGTATTTCCTCAAAAACCCAGTTTCTTTGTTTATTTTTTTTTCTTGAGAGTAATTTACGAAACAAGGTCACTAAAGATGAAAGCAAATGAGTAATAAAATTTGAAACAAACATCAAAAGAATCAACAGAATTGCAGTCATTTTGTTTTGTTAATGAGGTCAGGATTAAATATTCAGGATTAAATATTCATAAAAAAAAAATATATTGCTATCTAACGAACATGCAAAAAAAAAATGTGGTGGGATTTACATTTTCCTTTGTAGCTGTAAAAAGAACCAACATGTCCAGTATTTTTTAATAGACCCAACCACCCCACCATGGAATCCCTAACTGAGGCTGGGGAGACATTAAAGAAATAATCTTTCCCTCTAATTATAAAATTTAGGGCCTGGTGGGGATGAACAAAAAAAATGTTTTAAAATGCCATTCTCTATTCTGTGAATCGTTTTCATATTTTCTAAATCAGACAGTCAATTGGCTGTGGTTAAATGTAATTAGCAAAAATGCCCAACAAAAAGAATTGACAAAGTTTGTAATCAACAATAACAAAAGAAAGAAAAGAACAGAGTAGAAATAATATTAAGCAAACAATCTATGCAAGACAAAAGTAGGTAAAGTAACACTAATAAGGCAAAAAGTTATCAAACTAAGAACGATGTTAACATATAAAAGGGATACAGACAAGTGATTGCAGCATTCTGACTTCAATACAAGAAAGAACAGAAATATGGCAGATGAGATATTTTATCTATAAATTTGGGTAGGGGGATGTTTTTAAAGTCTTTCCTACTAATTGGAATCAACAATTTTTAAATCAAATAAACATTTTCTATCATATTTATTGTTTTCCTGAGAGACAATTCCTTTATTTTCTGAAGAATGGATCATCTGAAAATTTGGTTTATTAATGACCCTTCCCAAAGTTAAAGAGTATTTATCTCATAAACTCAACATTGTATTTTTATCCTTGTAACTATTTAGAGTCAGGTCTCATTGTTTTGAATCAACATCCTTAAAGAGCATTTATCTCATAGACTCAACATTGTATTGTTATCCTTGTAACTATTGAGAGTCAGATCTCATTGTTTTGGATCAACATCCTCAAAAAGTAGATTGGTAAAGCATACATCTTTTAGATTGGCCTATACTTGAATTTTATTGTTTTCATATATTCAAAATTTGACAGTCGATAGTAATTGGTCATGTTTATATAGAATTGGAAGAAATGCCCAACAAACAGAATTGACAAAGTTTGTAATCTACAATAGCAAAAGAAAGAAAAATAACAATGCAAAAATAATACTAAGGAAACAATCTATGCAAGACAAAAGTAGGCAAAGTAACCGTAATGAGGAAAAAATGTTCACAAACTAAGAACGATGCTAACACACAAAAGGGGTACAGATAAGTGATTGCAGCATTCTGAATTCAGAACAAAAAAGAACAGAAATATGGTGGATGAGGCTGGGAAGAAATCCCAGCATTCATCTGTATGGTTTATTTATAAATTAGGGGAGGGAGATGTTTTTGAAATCATTCCTATGTCAGTTGGAACCAACAGACATCATTAGTTACAAAAATTTGAATCTCATTTGAAAATATGTACAAAACTGAACGTTTGGGAAAAAATGTTGAAACATCAAAATTAAATTGTTAAAACTTCACTTCAAACTAACACCATATATTGAAGTTCTTTTCTACAAGAGAAAAAAAAAACCTTAAAATTATTGACTTTAGATTTTAGTGGGGACAAACAAAGAAGACTCAACAGAAAATGACACCAAAGATGGGTAGAAACATATGGGTGTAATGACAAGACATATATATTTTGCTTCATCCACCATAAGGAAAGTTGGTTCCCTGTGTCATGCCAGAAAATTTTTCTCGCCTGAGTCCATCCTTTAAATCTATAAGTCAACCATTCACCCTTGCATGGAATACTGCTGTCATATATGGTCTGATGCTCCCCGCTGTTCGCCTTAAGGTCCACAACAAAATCCAGAAACAGATATGCAATGTGATTGGTCCTGATCTGGCATCTCATCTACAGTTGTTCTCTTGCAGATGTGCTGTCACCTCCCTCTGTCTTTTCTACAAATACTTTCATGGTAACTACTCTGATGAGCTACTTTCACTAATTCCCAGACTGCATGAATTTAAGCATGCTACTAGGCTGGCATCTCGGTCCCACCCTTTCACTGTCGAAACTGTTAAATATGGCCGTCTCTTCTACTCCAATAGCTTCATGTCTCGCACCTCCCGTCTGTGGAATTCCCTCCCCTCTTCCAGTTTCCCTGATAGCTATAATCTCCAACTATTCAAATGTAATGTTAATCGACATCTCCAGATGCCCTGACCTATTCTCTGTCCTTTTCTTCATCCTTTCCTCTATCACACCTCTTTACTTTCACTTTCACTCTGTAACCCTTTGCATGCTAGTGGCATCTCGCCTTGCTTTGGGTGAAATGCTTTAAAAAAAAAAAAAAATTAAATATATGTATTAAAAATGAGAATGCCGATAACTCCTTCATCATTTATTGGACCAATCCTAATTGTTTTATAATCCTTCATGCAGAACTTTTCACTGCCAGTTCAAGAAAGACATTTGGGTAATTAACACACTAAAAAAAAAGAACGTCTCATATTGAGAATATTTAACATCGAAAAACATAAGAAAAAAATTAATTATTTTTAATATGTGGAAATCCTCACGCTTTGCCTGATGAAGGTCGTGAGACCGGAAACCCGTGTAGCAAAATTATGGCAAATGAAGCATAATATTTTTAAAAAAATCAACATTACAACCAAAAATGTTTGCAGTTTCTCTCTTTTTAATATACACACTTTTCTCTTGTTGGAACTACTATAACCTCTTCCTATATATATATATATATATATATATTGATTTACCAAGCATAGCTTAGATGTGGCATAAGGTCAAAAGAATGGAGCACCCAGTGAGGATCAAACAATGTATCTCCATCACTTTGATGATAAGCCTCTCTTACTTTTTTTTTTTTTAATCATTTCACTCCGAGCAAGGTGAGAATGCCACTTTACACTGAAAGAATAAAATTATGTACAAAATATTTAGATTTTGTCATTAAATGACCGAACAGAGGTGCTGATATGTCTCTAAACAAAATCAACCAACCAACCACCCCCCACTCTGGCTTCCCACTTTTTTCTCACTGCCTCCCTCACCAATCATTTCACTGCCCTATACAAATAACTCTCAATATCAAAATCTTGGAACTGGCAGTAACTCTTCAGTTACATTAATCAGCAAACATCAACAGACCAATATATTAGCTTTAGCTTTAGATGTGCAATGATCGTTAACAGGTGATAAGCGACATGGTCAGGTAACACAGCAAACAATACTGCAGATGCTGGTAGGAGTTGTGACCAATAATACTAAATCCTCTTTACAATCTAAGTATGAAAGTAATTCAAAAACAG